TAAAATGAGAAGTCAAAATAAATAACTTACCTGTAAAGGAAGCTATTATCATGGAGACCAACAACAAGAACAGAGGCGCCAATTTCCCTCACCAACGCGGCAATCTTCCTTCCTTCCTCATCGCCTTCCGCCACGACAATCTCAACATTAGTCTGCAACACCACAATGACTTTACACATCAAACATAAACATAAAATTAGTACGCACAGCGGGAAAAAAAAAATTTGATCATCGATCGACTTAATCATCGAACTTAAAATTCGATCATCTTCTCAAAGGACAAAAGGAGGAATCAGAGAGAAGACATACATTGAGGAACGCGGCGTTGCAGATGTCTTTGAATGAGAGAGCAAGGTCATAGCCTTTCAAGCGGAGAAACCTTATCTTCTTCTTGTTTCCGGATCTAGCGGGAGAGAAAACATGAAGGAGAGTGAGTAAATCGCCATAGCGGAGAAGATTGTGAAGAGTCCATTCGAGAGCTTTTCGTGCTACGTCGACGTCTTCTACTACCACCACTATTTTTCTGGCATCCATTTTTTCTCTGTTTCCGTAGAGGGTCTAGAGAGGAGGCTTTTGGGAATTGGGGTTGTTTGGGTCAAAATCTTTCTTTTTGTTTCGTCTTCTTTTAAAATTATTGAATTTTTAAATCTTCTCTTTTTGTCAAGTTCTGAAAATATTTGATGTTTTCTTTTTTTTTTTCTTTTTTTTTTTGAAATTTGAATTTAAGATATTATTTCGTGTATTCAAATATAGTTAAAGATAAACCATCCATATCCTAATTATAAGATTAGCATCAAAATTATCATCATTTTATCCCATATATATATATATATTTGAATTCAAGTTATAAATTAATATTTTTATTTAATTATTTACTCATTATTATAATTAAAACACATTCAAATTATTAAATTTAAAAAAATTAAAATAGTTTGATACTTAATATTTGTTTATTAATTAGTTCGATTACCAAAAATTTTGAACAAAATTGAAAGTAATGAGCTTAAAAATGTATTTTGACAAAATATATGTATTTTATATTCTTTTTAAAAATACACCCTTATAATAGTAAAACACGTTTGAAAATTTACTATCGAATCTTTTTGCTAATAAAAACTAATTATAAATGAAAGAAATGGTCAAAGTACATATAAATTTTTATAATAAATTCATGAATCTTGTTGTATTTATTTGAAAATATACATTGTAGTAATTGAATATTGGATTAGGAAAAAATTCTTGTATTTATATATATATATATATATATATATATGGTAATAATAATAAGATATAAACATAATTATATGGTTGGGGGAAGGGGGAGAGAAAATGGTGCCATTTGGA